AAGTAATTTAGAAAAATTCAAATCTGTTTTTTGTTCTGTTTTCTTTTTTAAAGGGAACTCTTTCCATTATCATAGCCAGCCAATCTTATCCCTCTTTAAGAGTCAGAAGGGATCAACTTTGAATTTTCAATCAGCCGTTACCTTTCATTCAACATACTTTACACCTGTCCTTAGAATGTTGGCTTTGTTTGTTTTGCTACAAAATGGGGATAATAATGCCACTAGGTCCTACATTCTGGAGTAACTATAGGGATTGCAATGAGATGCTGTTGTTTCTTTACCAGCATGGCAAGGAGTGGGGGCTTCCTCACACAGCTTCTCGTCATCACTGAAATCACCTGCTTTTCCTACCTGTGCAGCTCTGGGCCAGTCCTTATCTCCACTGAGAATTTGGTTTCTTCACTTGGGAAACCAAAGGGCTGCATTCACATGCCTTCCACAATCCCTTCTAGTTCATCAGCTTCACAAGGGTGGGTATTAACACCTAGAGTGGAGTTCTAGACTTCTGTGTCTTAGAGCTTATCAGCTTTTGCTCATTGATCCACTCGTGTGGACATGGAATTGACTGGAAAACCAGGCCATGGTTCTGGTCTCCTAGGAACCTATCTGCGGATCCATGAGAAAAGATCCACAGAAGAAACAACCAGAGGGTAAGGTGAAATAATTTATTACCATGTGCTCCAGAGTGTCCTGTATGGGGGTTCTGTTTTCAGTGTTGGTACACTGTGAAAGCAGCTAACTGTGTCTTGCTAGGTTGTGAGCTATGTCTAATCAGTAATATTAAGGTACTGGGATTGTGGATGCATAATTAGAAAGCTAAATCAGAGTAAGGATTCTTTTTCTAACAATACTACTCTCATTCCTATACATTTCATTATAGGTTTCTAAATTGATAAAGAGAGGTACTGGTTTAGTTATGGTTTCTATTGCTGTGATGAAACACCATGACCAAAGCAACTTTAAGAAGAATGGGTTTATTTGGTGTTCACATCCATCACTGTTCATCACTGAAGGCAGTCAAGACAGGAACTCAAACAGGGCAGGAACCTGGAGGAAGGAGCTGATGCAGAGACCATGGAGGAGTGCTGCTTATGGCTTGCTTCCCATGGCTTGCTCAGCCTGCTTATAGAACCCAGGACCATCAACCTAAGAGTGGTCCCACCCACAATGGGATGGGCCTTCCCCCATCAATCACTAATTAAGAAAATGCCCTACCGGCTTCCTTATAGCCCCATCTGAAGGAGATATTTACTTAATTGAGGTTCTCTCCTCTACATGACTTTAGCTTGTATCCAGTTGACACAAAACTGGCCAGCACAGGTGCAGAGTTCCAGCTGGCATTTTATCTACTTTGTTTTTCACAACACTAGGCTACCACTTCAATTCCTGCCTATGCCTCAGGGTCAGTGGTCTATTGAGCCCTATTTGGCTTGCATATAGCAATATCCAAAGGGTTCTGGTACATTTGCTTATGGACTGAGAGATGGAAGAAAAATCTTGCTGTTCTAACAGAAGAGCAATGCCTCAGTAAGTGGACAAACTTATACTGTATTGGGCACAGTCAAGGCACGAGGCCACAGCCTGGGCCAGGACACCACTGTGGGTCATCTGTACTATGCAATGGTTGCCAGTCCTCTACTCTCGTGTCATTCAAAATAGTCCTCATCTACCAATCAGAAGGATCTTTTCTTTTCAACACATAGATCCTAGTTTTTTTTTTTTAAAGCAAGAATACAGCATGTGAAATGAGGCATCTACATCTGTTGCCTTAGTGAATGGACAGAGCAAGGTCACCCTTTGGCAATAGTCTGTGAGATGAGAAGACTCTTGCCTGTACTCCTTCAGAGACAACCTTAATAATACAAATGGGTAAGATAATAGGTGTTGAAGAGTTCACAGATGACCCAGGAGTAGGTGGACTTGAGATGGCCCTGACCTCATACTCCTCAGTGGGCACATGCCGATAGACAACTATCCCAGAAGAGCTCCCCTCAAGCTATTGCTCTAACAAAAGCATCAGCAGGGAATATTAGACACAGATCTATCTGGAACTAAGCTTCTCTGGTTAACAAAACCTGCATAGTTGGGCAGATATGGTGTCAGCTGATTTCAAAGACTTGAGGGGCTGCCAGGTGGCTGAATGTTTGACTCGATCACCTCCTTGAGTTGGAGGGTAGAGAAAGGAAGGAAGCAGGTATCTTAGGTAGGAAAGTAGTTTCGAAGGAGAGTTTCCCACAAGGCTTGGGGTCTAGGGACCATTGCAAGTTCTGGAGACAGAAGGGTCAAGCTTAGTGTAGTGAGCAAATGAGGCAGCTTCTGTTATTTCCCCAAGGCTCAGGCCTTTTCGGTTCTCTGCCGTGGTAAAGGGGGATGGCATCTGCTCTCAAGGCCTCTGTTTCTACACTGTGCCCTGTAGAGTAGCGGGGCTGTAGAGGAGCAGGGCTATAGAGGAGTAGGGCTATAGAGAAGCAGAGCTGTAGGGGAGTATCAGGGCTGTAGAGAGCAGAGCTATAGAGTAGCAGGGCTCTTGGGCTCCTCACCCTGGCTTTGCCTGGCTATTCTCTCTCTTCTGCTGTTACTCCTCCTTTAGCATTTATTCCCCACTAGACTGCAAATGTGCTTGCTTCTTCCAGCCTAAAAATTGGTCTTTGGGCAGAGTTCCTGTTCAATTACAGTCTTACCTATCTTTCCTCTGCATCATGTTTGAAGGTGGCCTCTGCTCTAAGTCTTATTTCCTCAGCCCGTATATTACATTCTTAAATATCTGCATCTGTATTGTTCCCCATGGTTCTGTCTTCATGGCATGTCCCTCTTTATGGGCGCTCGCTCACCTAATATTCTCTCTCTCTCTCTCTCTCTCTCTCTCTCTCTCTCTCTCTCTCTCTGTGTGTGTGTGTGTGTGTGTGTGTGTGTGTGTGTGTGTGTGTCTTGGCTTTGCACCTTTATAGGTTTGTGACCACAAACATGTTACATAACCTCTGTGCCATGGGAGAGTCATCAGAAAAGGGGTTACAGAGAAAGTAGACCCCCTAAATAGGACACTGTTTTGACTGGTTAAGGAGAAAGAAAAGTCTTTCAAGTAGAGGAATTATAGGACCCAGGGGAAAGGAGGAGTATTTTTATATCATTTGAACCATGGAACCAAAAAGCCTTCTAGACCTGTTATGGAGCAGGTTAATCATAAAAGTGTACTCGAGCTGTTCCAGCATCCTTCATTAAGTATTTCATAACTTTTCCCCTCCATGATTGTGTGTCTTAGAGGACACAGCTACTTTCTTCCTTTTTATATCATCCCTGGCATTGGGCAGAAGTCTGAGAGTGGAAACTGTGAATGTTGACTGATGTTGAACTTCACTGTGGCCTTATCCCTACAACTTATAAGGATACCCAATTTTATTACCCTGACCCTTAACCACTTTGAAAGACACCTGGATACAGCTGACTCTTGCATCTTGGGCAGCATCTTGACCTGGAGAATGTGGATGCTAACAATTGGACCGAGCAGCTTCTGATGTAAAAGGGGAGGAGGTACCCAGTAATCATTAAAGGCCTTCTGGGAAGATTATTATGGAATGGGTGCTGATTTAAAGTATGTCCATTGATTATCTGGCACATCTCTGTCAAACGATGCAGTACAGTGTATGTTGCCTTGGCTAGTTTTCATGACTTGCTGGTTACAAGTAGTAACACAAGTAATACTGGGTGACTTAGAAGCTACCTCATAAAAGGCAAGAGAACTTCTGGCTCTCCTGTAGCTTTGAGAAACTCTTGGAACTCAAAATGCCATGTGTATTGGCCATGTGTTTTGTTTTCTGTGTTTTGGTGCTTTGATATCTGAGGCCATGCTGATCTTGGCCTAGTTAATTCCTAGAAGTAATGAATAGCTGCTTTGGTGAGTGTTCCTTTCATGTAAGGCAACCAATCAACCACAAATATATACCCCTGGCCATCATTTATGGAACTCTCACACCCCTGGCCACTCCATCTACCTGTCTGCAGCACCACAGGACTGTGTCATATACTAGCTAACTTGAGCTAGCCCCTGTATGTGAGAGCCGGATGTAATTATTCAAATAAGCCAACTTCTAGCTTTGTATACCTTTCTAGATAAATATAATAGACGCATATTCCAAACACCCCCTTCCCCAGTGCTAATGCTGTTGCTGCCTCATCTGGTCTGCCACATTGTGGTGTCCCACCTCCACTTGGCCCTCATGGACATGACCAACCATCTTGGCAGTGGCAATTGAGTCATCCCTGAATAATGAAACCTGTGGTTTAAGACAGCGTGTGTGTGTGAAATCTGGTGTGCTGCCGGGATCACATGGGGAGAGCACAGTGAGAAAGAGGGGGATGCAAAGGGGTGTTATTGGTCAGCTTTTCAGTCCAGTTGCCAGATCTATCAGGGGCTTTCAAGAAGATCCCCACTCTTGCTCCAGCCACTGAAAACCTCAAGCAAGAACTGTCAATCAACCATTGGAACCATCAGAAATAAACAAAAAAAAGAGAGAGAGAACTTTTTTTTTAACACTGAGTTTGCATAGTTTATAAATATCTAAAACCAGAGAGATAATCAAAGTCAAAATTCTGCCTATTTTATCCCCATTCTTTTTGATGCCAAATCACTATTTGTGTTTAAAACGGAAACCCCTCCAGCCTTTAGCAAGATGCTGTAGCCTGCCCCAATGCCCCACTCAAAGCACTAGTAATAGCTCTCTTGTGTCACTCGGTGCAGTGCCTAAAAGAAAACATCTAAAACTATTTGGAAATATTTCTAAGGGCACTATGATGGGTTTCAGAACTCAGCATGGCCAATCAGAAAAAAAAGTGAGGAAGAAAAAAAAAGAAAGAAAGAAAACAAGACAAACTTGGCTTTCAAAGGAAACGGAGGATCTGGAGAGCCTTCGACTCTTTTGATTTATATTTAAACATTTCTTGAGATTGAAGTCTTGATTAGCCTAGTTCTCTCAAGTTCTGCCTTAGCCTTGATTTATGGGGAGGCCAGGCCAGTGCAAAATGAAAGCAAAATGAGGTGTTCTTTAAAATTACCTTGGCTCCCTTGAAGGAGGGCACAAGTGCTCACAGGGAGATTAAAAAGGAAGTGATGAGATGAGCTTTCGAGGCCCTGTGGCAATGTGGGGAGGGAGCCAGTGAAGGATGGATGCAATCTCTGCAGGTGAACCTCTTGCAGGATGTTGTGTTTAGCTGGGCTCCTAGACGGAGCTCTCCATCAAAAGGTATATCTGAGAAATCAGAAAGGCATTTTGATTTAGTGACCCCCTCCATCTGCAGCTAGAAGGGAGGGACTTCCTGTGTGGCCAGAATAGAAGGGGTGTGGAGTTAGGGGCTTGTTGCTGGGTTTTGGTAGTAGCATCCTGGGTTACTGTGGTTTAGGGGCTGAATCATCCTCTATCCAGGAAGAGGTAAGTTTCTGATCCAGGCTCTTAACTTTTGCAACACCCTGAAACTCAGAGAGGCTAGCATGGATTTTCTTGGAGACCACAGTTCTCTCGTTTTAACTTTGCCAGGAGTGCCCAAAGATGAGCAATTCCCAAAGCAGATGGCTACAGCACCATGTCCATGGTCTGTGGGCTCCCTCTGTTGTCTATACTTCTTGGGCAGATTATACTGGTTTTGTTTATGTGCCAAGATTCAAGTGGTGTTCAAGTGATGGCTGTTCATAGGAGATATGAAGGAACATGGATGCCTGAGGTCTGTAATAATCATGTGTGTGTATGTCTGTTAAAGTGTGAGTTGGAGCCAAGTGGGGCGGGAGGGAGGGAGAGAGAGGGAGGGAGGGAGGAAGGGAGAGAGAGAGACAGAGAGAGAGACAGAGACAGAGACAGAGAGACAGAGAGAGACACAGAGAGAGACAGAGAGAGATATATCCTACCAGAAAGTTGAGGATGTTGAGAAATAGAAACGAAAACTTGGATTTACTTGCCAATGAAGAGGATAAAGCATATTATATTTTATAGTTGTTGTTTTGATTTGTATTGGTGGCCTGGGTCTGAAAATGTTAAGGAAAGGTTTATGCAAAATGTGTTGGTCTCTCTAGGTAACAACCTGCAGTGAGCTCTGCGTTTCTCTTCCACTTTACCTTGAAGGTAGGATGGTTCCTGTGTTACAGTATTGCTTCCAACCAGAACTCCTATGCTTAGGAGTTGGACTGTAGCTGTTGTATGGGAAAACCCTTAGAGGTAAGTGGAACATTCTGGCCCCATCCTATGCTTTTAACCCAGTATGATGATACTCTTGGTTGTTAACTTGACTACATCTGGAACTAAAACCCAAAAGGTGGAGGACATATCTGTGAGGGATTTATTTTATTGTTACTATTTTTGCTTAATTTGAAGTAGGAAGAACCACTTCTTATCTGGATCTTTGAGTTAGGAAGGTACAGGACTTCAATCTGGATCTCAAGGTGGGAATATACACCTTTAATCTGGGCCACACCTTCTGTTGGAAGCCAATATAAGGACATGGAAGAAGGAAGCTTTTGCTCTTTGCCTGCTTGCCCTCACCTTGCTAGCAATTCCATTACTTCACTGGCATTGGAACTACTTCTTTGGAAGTCCAGCATACCAACCTGTGGCCTGAACAACTATTAGATTCTTGGAATTTTCCACTTATAGCCAGCTATTGTTGGATTAGATGTAATGCAGTCTACAGGTCATTCTAATAAATGCCCTTTATATACATACATAAATACATAATCACATGTATTCATTCTGTAATTCTGTTACTCTAGAGAACCCTGACTAATACACCTACCTTCCGCTATTTCCCTCTCCTCCGTGAACTTTCTGTGTGATAATGCAAGTCCCTTTAGCACAACTCCAAGTTTCTTTTCCCTGTGTTCCCTTTCAACAACAACCAGGCACATACACACCACAATCATGTACATACCAGTGAATATGCATACATGTGTGCATTCGGGAGACTAATTTTCTTCATCATAATTCACTCTTGACACTTTGAGTAATATTTCCTTTCCTCTCCATTCATCCCAATAATACCCACATCAAAAAGATCTAATTTAAACTTCTTAAAGATCCATTGGTTATTCATTCATCAATTCATTCAATGTCTAGTAACTGACCCTCTGACCCTGGTTAGAGACAGGAAGACATTTTCTTTCCTATTTCAACTAATTCTGATCTTTATTTTCCAATTTGAGAGGTGGCTCAGAAGAAGTTAAGATCACTGGCTGCTCTTCCAGAGGACGTGTGTTCAATTTCCAGGAATCACATGGCAGTTCACAATTGTCTATAACTCCAGTTCCAGGGTATCTGACACCGCCACACCAATGCTCATGAAATAAACTTAAATCCAACTTGGATCTGATACAACACCATTACCACTAGATTTCAACAAAATATCAGCATCGTTATTTAATTTTCCCAGTTGTAAATTTTGCCTCTGAAAAGTAGATATGTATTTCTCCTGAACAGGTTCTCTGTGGGGCTACCTCTTTTTACCATTCATCAGCCACCAAAGAGTTTAGTGATATAAAGTTGATATGCAGTGAATACCTACTGTATTAATGATAGGCAGATTGATGGATGGATAGATTCATTTGTTGCTAACCCCCCATCCACTTAAAAGAAATTTCAAAGAACATGGGTGGTCTGGTTTTCATCCTTTTTCTGCCACCATTTATCATCCCATTGGATTATTGCTAATCTGTTATGCATCTATCACGCCTAAGTTTATTTAAATGTATTGAACATATTGATACTTTGGACTGAATTCTTACAAAGAATGATTTCTGTATTACAAGATTTTATTTGTAATTTATAACAAATTATTCTTCTAGACATTTGTTGAAATGAATAGGTTCAGCTATTTATTCTTTCTTATTATTTCCATATGGCATTTGGTTTGTTTTTCTAACATTTATTATAGTAGGCATGAAATTCCTGTTTCCATCACCTTTTTTTTCTAGTAAACAGCTTGTATTAGAGCAGTGACCCTCAAAGCAATGGTCCCCAGAACAGCACCATCAGCACCCCTGGAAACTTGTTAAAAATGTGATTATCATAACCCAGTTCAGAGCCATTTGAATAAGCCCTGCAGGTAATTCTGATGCATGTTTAGGTCTAAGAATCTCTCAGTCAGTCAAAAGAACATTGAGCTCTCAGTGTAGATGAATGAATCTCAACATGTGAATTGTGGCCCCTTCAGGGGCTGAATGACTTTCACAGGGGTCGCCTAAGACCATTAGAAAACACAGATACTTACAGATTCATAACAGTAGCAAAATTACAATTATGAAGTAGTAGAAAAAATAATTTTATGGTTGGGGATAACTGCAACATGAGGAACTCTAAGGTCACAACATTAGGAAGGTTGAGAACCATTGGTATAGATCCTGAACTTTGTCTTTGGCTATGGGACTCTGAGTCTTAGTTTCCTCTTACTCATCCTAGGATGGTGTATTTAGGGACAAACATTTTCCTTTTAGAGGTTTTTGTTGTTGTTTTTGTTTTGTTTTGTTTTTAACTGGTGAAAAGACCATTGGTGTTCACAATGCTGTTCTAAAGATCAGGCAATTCATTGTTTATACACCATTATAGAATTTCCTTTTAACCAACCAGAACCGAAGAAGCTTAGATTCTCATGATTTTACATTAAGTTGCACAATCAAAACATCTTGATTTCTACCATATGTAGGTGTTGGGAAGCACATCTGTTTGCCCACAAGATATAACCAAAGTGCTGGAATAAATGGTACATACAATGGATACTTCTCAGAAGAGGAAAGAACTTCCAAGAGCTGGGGTGGTCACACATGGGAGGTGGCATACCAAAGTTGGGGTCTTGAATTAGAACTTAAAGATAGGCTATGGAGATGTGAATGACAGCCCAGGTGGTTTCAGAGTAGTTCTAGTAGATGAATTCTGAGCTTACATATTCAGACTAAAATAAGGGTACAGAAGGGGAACAGTAAGTATATCAACTTTTGGGAGAGAGAGTGTGTGTGTGTGTGTGTGTGTGTGTGTGTGTGTGTGTGTGTAGCAGCATGATGGAAGCAAAGGAATCTCAAACATCTAACTGAGCACATTGGCTACAGAGATCTCAGGTCATATTTCAGGTATCTCCTGTGCCAGGGGTATAGTTACTTGGTTTCTGGAAGTATCTTGCCTCAAGCTTTCAGGAAGGAGACAAATGATATTTGAACCCTTAAACATCTATCTTGAGAATTGCTCAGTTTGTTTGGTGTGGCCATTCTAAATGTACAGGTGTTAACTAAATCGTAACAGCTTTAAAGATTAGCCCAAACACAATGTTTCAGATGCCCCAGAGTGATGGAGGCAAGCTTATTATGGCCTTTGTTCTTAGCTGTAGCTATATGTTAGGGTGACTAGAATTCTAACAACAACAAAAATACCCAACAACCCTCATCTGGATTCTGTCCCACAGATTTTGACTTAATTGGTTATGGGGGGCATACATAGTTAGGTATAAGGTCCACCCTGAATCAAAAGGTTTTAATGTGCAACCAGGGCTAGGATTTACTTCCCTGGGGATCCAGAAGATATCATTGTGGGTATTTGATGAGGTTCAGGCACCTGAACACATACTATGTCCTGTTGATTTAGGAAATAGTTCTGTTGTGTCAGACAACAATCATCTCTGACTTTTGGTGGCTCTTCAGTTAATGGAGCAGACTGACCTGATCATGAAAGGTTGAGGAGCCCAGCAGACATGGCTAATTTTGGTTGGAGCATTAAAAAAAATATAGACCCAGAGAAGCAAGCATAGTGTGAGTTTCCCAGTGGAGTAGTGCAAAGACTCCGGGGGCAGTGTCTGAAGACCTGATGCCCACTGAGGAATTCAGAATTGCAAATTAGGACCAGAGCTACAAAAACAATTGTCTGATTTCTTAGAATTTCATAGCCATCATATGTTTATTTTTTTATACTCTCCTCTGCAGCTCCAAAACAGCTACCAGTAAACCCTTGGATTTACAAAAGGACAGCAGGCTTGTTGCCAGGGCCTGAAGGAAAACTGGAGGGCTTTGTGGTATCGTTTCTGTAGGGAAGGACTCCAAACACAGCCTGGGTGGGGTCAGCCTTCCAGAGGAAAGAGCAGAGCTGATGGAACAATGCCAGCTGGATAGAGTCCTTTGCATCTCTATTGTGTTTAAAAATGGAACCAACAAAACGCTAAGCACACAGAATTTATCAAATAAGGGCTTGTAATATTGACATGTGTTCTGTCTGTTTTCCATTCCTGTGGGTTATGTATCATTGAATGTGTTATTTATCATCTCTAGCTTACTTCCTCCTGGGTAAAGGGGGACATATCCGTCTTCGGGAAGTGTCTTGATGGTACAGAGGAGTGACTCTTTTAAAATGGCACATCTTTAATGATGCATTATTTCCCCCAAGTCTCATCTCTTATATTAAAAATTCATCTATCCACACATCTGTTTGTCGGCCCATCCATCCATCCATCCATCCATCCATCCATCCATCCATCCATCCGTCCATCCACATATTTATCACAGTTTTACTGAGTATGTGCTATGTACATGCCTCCACTGTAGGCACTTGGGATTGAATACAGAACAATAGCAAAAGACCCTAGTCTCATGTTGTCTTCAGCCTAGTGGATGAAGACACAAACCCCATAATTCATCTTTGTGTGTTTGATAACAGAACAAGGACAATCCAGTAACACTTTTCCTACTTCTGCTTTCCTGGTTTGGTGAGTATTAAATGGTGTTCCTAGTACAGGCACACAGCGCATGCCTGGCCTTCTTCATGTGTTGAACTGCCCAAGGCAGGTAGTCCCATGTGAAAGAACTGAGAACAAGAGTATTATACAGGTCCATTAACACGTTCAATATAGTACTGTTTGAAGATTTGAACATACTTTGTACAAATAAAGAATGCTATGATTTTTAGAATTTATACTTCTGGGTTATGCATGTAACAGGGTTAATTTTGATATCTGTAAAAGGGACATTTTGGTATCTGTGAAGGTGTTTCCAGAGAGGAGTAAATAATGGGACAAGGTCCATTCTGAATGTGGGCAGTATTATTCTGTAGGCTAGTGGTCCGGAATGGAACAAAAGGAGAATACCAGTGTAGACATTCACCCTGCTTCCTGCTGGCATGGATTCCATCATATACTTGGATTGCCACAGATTCTCCTGAAGTGCTTGGGGCCAACCATCCAATGACTAGAGCCTCTGAACCCATGAGCCGAAGTACACTCTTTCCCCCTTTAGGTTTTTTTTCCCACAGGTATCTGGTCAGAACAATAAGAAAAGTAATAAATCCATTTACCGTTTGCCTTATCCAGTGGCCGAAGTGTCTGTGAAACATGCTTCCTTTAGAATGCTCTTACTCCATATCACTCATTGACTCTAGTGTTTCAGCACTTGCAGGCACAGGCGAACTTAAAGTGCTTGAAGATCCACTGTTTGGGTCAAGCAACACACATAATAGTCGAAGAAGAGTTTGAGTTCAAAGTGAGAGTCTAAGGATCTGCAGCCTGTGGATGTAGTATATCATGGAATTTTAGAACCAAAATAGTAAGTGGCAGCTTACTGCTACAGAGCTCTTAAGGGATGGGTTGGGTTTAGAGCGAGGGGCTGTCCTCTTTCTCTACTTCCTTTCTGTTAAGGGAGGCCAACCTTGCCCCAGTCCACATTAACCCCTCAGCAGCTGGCCTTCCTCAATGGCACACACTTGCTAAAGACCAAATACTAAAAACCAAAAACCCCCCCCCCCCCCCCCCGTTTATCGGGAATGGATTGGTACAGTTCCAATTCTTTCTTCATTTTTGCCAACTCTATAATTTAACACAGAAAAGAACAATGGCCAAGAGTCTAAGACTTACAGTTTTAAAGGCCTTTTCTGACTAGAGTGGGGACATGCAGATGGCAAACAGAAGACTGAAGATGATTGTGATGAGTTTTAGGAAACAATACTGGTTAGAAATGTTTGATAAAGGTCCCAAGGGTGCTTGACTGTCCATCCCAGGACTGTCTCCCACTGTCATTTGGAGCCATATTGCTGTGTGTCTATACTTTTGGCAGTTAAACCATTGAATGAGTCAAATACTTTTTCCATAAAGGTATGAGTACTCCATAGTAAATCAGGCCTGTTGTCACTAGTCCTCACCTAATTATCCATATGTAGCCAGCCAGGATGAGCTTTCCCCTTGAAATCTCTATTTCATACAATATTGATTTCCCAGATACATTGCTCTGAGATGTAATCAGTGGCTAGGGATGAGATAGGAAGTCTGGAGTAAATTCATCTCAGGTTGCCTTTTAATAGCGCTGATCCCTAAATCTTGTATCTTATTTTCTAAGGAAGAAGTTCCTAGTGGACTCTAAAACTATAAGAAGTGCAGTATCAATGTATTAATGAATCAATCAGAGCAAAGTAGAGGGGTCGGTTCAAGGCTAAGTGATGATTTTTATTGCAAATAGGGTACACCAGGATGATGAAGGGCTGGGCTTAGAGAGAATGAGGGCAGCATGTTTTCTTAGACTGGAGGCAAAAGAAAAAAACACATAAGAGGAATCTTGAAGCTGAGTACTGAAGTAACAGTGTGATAGGGAGGGGCTCACCTGCCTGATGCTGTGTGATGGTGAGAGGCTCAACTGTCTGATGCCCTTCTAACCAGCACAATGTCTCAAATGCAATTCAGGTTGTAACCAGCACCCAATGTTCAGAGAGAAAAGTGAAAGGTGGCACTTTCCCATACAGTTTCCTGGGAGTGTTCTTACCTCACACTACTTGCAACAGGTCTCTCTGCTGTTGTCAACTGAGCATTTGCCACCAACTTCCCAGTATCCAGAGTGTAAATATCCACAGGACCCACCTGCCTTGCATCTCTGCTTCTATCAGAGAGATTAGATGTTTGGATTCAAACAACCAAGCTTCAGTTCTTGCTCTCACTGGATGTCTGTTGTGGTTTATATTATTATTTGGGAACTCCAGATGACAAGGGGCTAAAGAAAGAAGCGTGCTTCCAGGAGGTTTTGTCTCAGGACTTGGATGCTTCAGCTTGGGCATGACTTACCATGCGTGTGTGCTCACACAGGTACATGTATGTATGCAATGTGCAGGGACTCTTCCTACTTCATCTGTTGAGCAGGGTCTCTTGTGTCTTGGAGCTCATCAAACAGGCTAAACTGTATGGCCAGTGAGCCCCAGTGATCTGCTTGCCTCCCCCTTCCCAGTGCTGGAATTGCAAGCAAGGGCTACAGTACCTGGCCTTTTTACTTGGGTTCTGGGGATTAAACTCAGGTCCTCCTGTAGTCAAGGAGCCATCTCTTCAGCTGGACATCATGCTTTCCTTTCCAACTCAATGACTGGCAACACTGTCTGAAGCTCCACTTATCTTGAGTGGGAAAGGCCCGAAGGTTGGGTCACACTGGTCTCCTACTTCTCTGACTTAGAACGTGTTGGGCAGACGGAGCCCTGGCCACAGGTGACCATCAGCATAGTCCCTTACAGCCCTTACAGTGACCATCAGTACAGTCCCCACACCACAGGACATTATTCTCATTAGGTAGACCAAATAAATCATGAGAATGGCTCTGGGCATCAAAAATCACTTTGTAAGATACAGGAAAAGCTCACTGAGTCACTGGGTGCTGATGTTGCTTTGTCCACTGTCCAATGACCTCATCTGATTCTCAGGATTAGACAGTCAACACTTCTACTAATGACCTCAAAAGAGCTCAGCATCTGGGTGACTTGATTTCAGGGAACCTAGTAGAATCCAGAAAAGATCAGGCCAAACCAGGTGAAACATATACCTTCTCTGACCCAGGGCCCTGAGGTCTGTAAGCAACTGGGTTGTTCTTCTCTGTACTTTTCTACTCCTGATAGATCTGTTTCTCATGTAACAGACTGGCCTGGTAAGCAGGTTTAAAGCTTAATATCAACAACACATGCTCCTTACTGCCGTCATTGACTTTGAACCCTAAAGTTCTGCAGTGAAGTGGTCAGCAAAAGTGGAGACCCAGAGGGTCAGGCAGGCAGCTTACTCAAGGCAGGGGTCTGATGACAGGGAGTAGCTGTCCCCTCACACTTCTCAGGGTGTTGTAATCCTTGGAAATAGACCAGCTTTTTCAGAAATAGAACAAAAATAACCCCAGGCTTCTGAGCTCGAGGGGTACTCTGACTCCTTCCTAAACTTTTAGGCATCCCCAGATATTAAATAAAAGGAATACGTAGCCCTCTATCCAAGGACAACAGCTTGGAATCAGCAGACATCTGAGCTGTCTAGCTGGCTTGTCCTCTAGCATCCAGGGTCTCTTTAAGATGCAGAAAGCTAGGAGGTAGAGAGGTCAAAGGCAGGGCGGTGGAAGTTTCCACACTCTGTGTCTGGGCCAGTGTCTGTCTATCTCCACTTGGAAGGGTGGGCCCTGTTCCCACAGACTAGAGGTTTATGAGTTCAGCTTGGGAGGAGGCTTCATTCTTATTTTTCTGAGGAGCAAGTGGGCCTCTCTTTGGTTGTAAAAAGGTAGGGAGAAAGAAGATTTAGTGCTGGTGCCCTCATTGTGGGGATGTATTGCTGGCCTTTTGTCTCCTGTGAGCTGCATGGGCACACTCACAAGTATGTAGAATGTGTATTCACACATATAATCTGCCCACCCCCAGTTCTTGTTCTACTAATACACTGAAATACTGAGGGGCAAGAGTTGTAAATATGGAAGGCCCATGTAGAGGTTAAACAGAAACCAGAGATCTGTGACCAGCTGGCTGAAGCCCAAGTGTTGAGGAGAAATAGTGATACGGAAATAAGACTGGCCTGGAGAAGCAGGCTTGATGGGGTCAATAAGGACAAGAGTATGTATGTGTGTATATGTTTGTATATACATGTATGTCAGGGTAACCACAGGGAGAGAGCAACTATTAATTTTCAATTTTGATGGCCCTTAAGTGACTCTTTAATTTGGGGAATCTGACTAGGGTTCTGTGTATATTGGGGAATTACACATTTTCTTCATGGAAGGTGGTACACCATCTTGGTTTATAACTGTCTGAATCTGTGCTCCAACTCTGCTACTCCTGGCTATGTCAAACTCTATAACTTCAAAAGCTTTAGTTGGCTTGCCAATGGAATGATCTGAAAAATGGTATTATGGAGCTGGGACTGCTGAGGGCCCAGGATATGACATCTAACATGACTATCCCTTGATTTTTTTTTGTTTGGACAGGTATCGAGTGTATTTCCTTACCCAAGCAAGTATAAATCATTTAGCATTCTTACTCCTGCAGCAGACATGACTCCAACATTTCTCAATTCCCGTAAGGAAGCACATGGTCATTGAAACAAACATGCATTTTTCTTCACTTATCTCTCCACCTGATTCTTTAGTACTTTGTGACTTTCAGTGGGGACAGAGCTGGAGCTGAGGGACCAGGATAGAGTCATAGATGGTGGAGCTGAGTGACCCTTCTGAAGTGGTAGTGAGGTCATTCCTCAGGCTCATTGGCTATGTGTGGGGACAAGTTGTCAGGGTATGCTGACATAACCCTGGAGAGGAACCAGAAGCTGTCTATGTAAGTCAGAACTGATGCATGTGGTGTGTAAAGTATGCTGTCAGGGGCTGAGGGAGAGCTTGGGCTCTACCACAGACTAAATGGGAACTGTTGGGCAAAGTGTCTCACCTTCCTGGGTATTAATGTCCTGCTTCTTTGTTAGGCTGATGCTCATTGTTATTCTAGGGCATTTCTACAACAGGCTTTATACTCACCCCTTAATTCTCTTCCCTATACATGCACCTGTGCTCACAGCATATATGTACGTACCTTTGTACAGGGGTGCATGCATTTATATATAGAATGCCATGTACTTACAGTACTTACATGAACCTGTGCATAATAAACACACTCTGGCACGCAGGTGTGCTCTTCCTCAGCAGTCTGGGTCATATACAATATAGGCTCCACTCCTGCTTTCTTGGTCCCTCCCATCCAGCTCTGATCACCCTGTACCTGAACTTCAAGGCTGCCCCACACCAAGTCCCACTTCACTTTCCTTGTCATTTAAAGATTATTTAACATAGTTCTGAGATACTTTTATCTCCAAATACAGTCCCAGACAACCGTGTTCAAGGGCCTCTTCTCCGGATCACCTAAATGTGTAGAAGTGAATTAGCACTATGTGTTTACATGGTCCTCAAGCTTTGTGTATTTGGTGAGGCCTCTCAGCCATCATCTATTAATACCATTGTTTCTATAACTTCTGATTTTGCTACCCATCCTACTTCCCTCATATAGGGTGACACTGAAATAGCATTTTATGAACTACTAAGCAACTGTTGAGTTTGGGGGCACAGTTTTGGCTTGTGTTCATTTGATATACATAGCGTTTACTTATCTGTAATTTACTATCACCAATTGTCAAATTTAAATGTTCAACTTTCAAGAACACCCATGAAACTTATTGTGCCGATGCCCTTTGTGTTGAGTTGAAAGGGAATGAAACAATGGGGAGGCCCAAGTATGTGTGTCCTACAGGGCCCAGCATTGGGAGCTCATGGATGATGGAAGAGAAACAAGCCACTTGGTGGAAAACCCTTCCCATCATCAGGTCCATAAAGGCATAAGCAGGTGATTGTCATCGCTACTCATCAAAATGCAAGTTCTCTCTTGTCAAGAATATATTCGATCAAGCAAAGTAATATAATTAATTATGCTGTTCATCTTGTTTCTTTTTTGATGGGCATTGCTGACAGGATTTATCAGAATCCCAGTGTTTAAATGTCTTGCTAATGTGACAGGAAATACCGATGTTGACAAAGATACCATAAAACTCATCATATGCCACTAAGATGGGGACATCAATGACAATCTGGTTAGGAAGTTTCATAAACTCAAAGAGCATTTTAGATTTGTTGCTATAAAAGAGAAGTTAAAATGCCCCCGAATTCTCATAGCTCATATAGAAAAGATACTTGACAGAGGTTTCTGCAAAGTTAATAGCAGTCCTGAAAACTCACATGGCATTACCAGTGACGAATTGTGAGGCTGAAAGAGATTTTTCTAAGCCGTGAATAATAAAGTACCAAATTTGATCAGCTTGTTAGATGAGAGACAGAATTATCTTCATATTCTCTGTTTAAAAATAATATTGAAAAGATTACAGTCATTTAAAGAGATGATCAAAGTGCTTGCTGACAAAAAAATGTAGGAAGAAAAGTATTACAGATGTGTGCCAATTATTCTAAAGTTTGTGGTGCCTGAGGAATTTGTCAGCTTTTCAAATGTGCAGTTTGTTGTGACTTTTCTCTTTCTCATTAAAATTTCACTTTCTGACATAATTTAGTATTTGCAATTTTGAATTATTTTTCTGCAAGAAAGTTTCCTGCGTCACATGAGCTCCAGGCCCTACAAATTGGGTCTCATGTTTGTTCAGCCTCTGCTGAGAGAGCCCTTTTCTGCTAGCCACTTATCAGCCTGGGTGCTAGCAGGGGCTTGGGTCACGAGGCCAGGGTCTGGGTAGTTCTCATGGGGCACCCACCAGGAGCTGGTAGAGAATATGCGTCTTGGAGACATCACAGGTCTTTGGAGACCCACCTGCCTCTCATTCTGTCACACTACCTGAGAGGGCCCAAGCCTTCCCACTAACCATCTTGTCAGGACCTGGCAGGTCCCTGCCAGCCCCCCTACATTTCCTTTTAATAAAATTTAATGTTTTCATTTTCAAAGACCTCGAAAATCCAAACACTTTTTTAAAAGCCCTGAGGAACTATAAAAATTAATAGCACAGGGATAATTTCTTTTTCAGTGGCGACTCAATTAAATCTGCCAAAGTCAGGCTGTGATTTAAATGTGCCACTTGCAGAGAGACCAGGGCAGAGTCGGCACAGGGAACGAAACA